TGGAATGCCTTCAGTCAAGGGAAGAAAGTATCAGTGAACAGGATAGACAGATCGGCTGCCAGAACTGAGAACGTGAACTGCCTTAGGAAGAGGGAGGAACTGAACAAATCTTTTTATTTACATATTAGAGTATTCTGAGATAGAAAAAGGTTACGATTGGCATAAATCTGACCCCTATGATGACTAAATAGTCACATTTGAACTCGCAATGCCTACCTTTCGGGTTATAAATAAATTCGTGAACACGACAAAGCACAGGGCTAAAAGGAATTCGTGTGTTCTTCCGATGTTTTCCGGTTGACCTCTAACACTGCAATCCGCTTAAAAACAAACATCGCCCCATAAGGACTGCGTATTTCAACATAAGGGGTAGTCATTTCGCAATGACGTGGTCAGGAAGAATAGCTTGCTATTGGAAAGTCGAGTGTTTTTTTGCTTTTGTTCAGTTTATTTTCTTTCCTCTACAAAACCAAGAATAAAGTAAATTGCATTTGATAAGGGACAAGATGGCTCCGAAAGTTCGTAGTTATATTTCTTTAATGTTTAATTATAAGAGCATGACGAAATGTTTTCTTATCGACTACAATTACGCATGAGGCACTGAACTTTGATTACGCCACAATTTTAACTCCCGTTCGCTATCCTGATAATTATATAGGCAGGCTATCCGTTTTATTTGTGATATACTATATGCGCTTATCTTTCACTTGAAGAGCGACTTTTGTCTGAAATAGAAAGCCGGCTCAGGAAACTTGGCGACTGATCCCCTTTTTTCACGCCCTCGGTGGTGCTGAGGGGGGAGCGGAGCAGGGGGAAGCGGAGCTGGGGGAAGGCGGGGAGGGGGGAGGTGAAAGAGCCGGTCCTTTCAAGATCATTTTTGCCTGTATTTTGCTACTCGAGCTTTCCAAAGGAAACGCTATCGTTTTCTTCATACTGCATCAGTTGTATCTTTAAACCCACAAAAAGATAAAAATATATGAAATCCCTCCTGCCTATAATAAAAGAGACATGTACCCTATTCGGTTCACCAAAAGCATAGATGGAACGGCTTCACTTGTTATGCCATTAGAAAAATACAAGAGAAATATAGTACTCCAAGGCAATACAGAATACTGTTAGCTACATGTTCATGTAAAGAAGTCGACAGAAAGGTAAGAAAAAAAAAGATTAATCATTGAAAAAATACTATTAACTAATTAATTATTAATAAATATCAATTAATAATTATTTATTTAATTTTTAAATACTATAAAGCACTGGAGTCAGCAGAGAAAAATATATTATTGGAGAAGGATCAATATTTCTTTACGTTATTGATGGATGTGCAGTAGCAAAGTATTTGATACCACAGAGACTTCGTCAATTATTATCAGTTTTAAATCTGACAGTGCCATTCTCATCGTGTTTTCTTTTGGTCTGACATCGGTGTTATATTGTCACCTGATTCTTTGGGGATTGCATGCTAAGAAAAAAACAGTCACAGGATAAACCAGTAATTGCATAAAAAAACTGGCAAAGCAAGCACAAAAATCAGTTTATTTCAAACAGAAAGCCCAGGTGAATGCAAGTATGCTTCTACTTAAATTTCACTATTAAAGTGCCAAGTAACAAGAAAAAGTTAACTCTACACCCAAAAATCAGCATACATCTTCTCCATACTGTTCTCTATACTTTTCCTTACAGTTCTAAGAAAGACTTCCAAGGAGAATTTGTTTCACAATCTTTTGATTCAACAACCTATAGTTGATGATTGGTTTCTTTAATCTTGAGCCCTCATGTTTCATTCAGGGGTGATATTGTTATGAGAAATTAGATGTTGGTCACTATTTGGGGTCAAAGGGCTAAGAGCAGAAGATTGAGAAATGACAGATAAAATTCTGAAACATTGGTCACAAACCGTTTATTATCTCAATTGCAAAACATTGCCAGAAAAACAATCTTGTTAAAAAAACTGATCTCACAACAATTCTCTGCAATTTTGTGGCATACAATCAACATTCAACTATCTCGGGATACACTGTTCCCAGACCTAAATTGAACAATCAAAGGTAAATTTCTGAGGGTCACTTGCCAAGAGGATTCACCTAATCTGCGAGCAAGCCTCAATATCAGTGCTGCAGGACATGCGTTTCCCTGTCCGCAGGAAGATTTGAGACCAGCTGGGAAGAGGTTTGCCAGGAGTCTTGGACTCATCAGTGCTACACCCCATCCAGACCTCTTGCCGCATTGAGTTGCTCAAGGCTTCATACTTAGTTCCCTGTAGGTGATGAAACACTCATGCCAAAGCGCTTCTAATAAAGGTCAGCTCACAAGCTAGGATTCACCAAAATGTTAGACACACCAAGCCATCATTTAAAACTGAAGAAGTCAAAACCTCCCATGGAACACTTCTTTAAAATCATTAACTCTACTTTGGTTGGTAATCGAAATACCTCCAACCACTGAAACTACAAAAAAAAAAATTGCACCACACAGAAGTTGTGTGCATTTAATAAAAACTTATTTCAGTAACAATCAAAAACCAAGAAATCAGTCCAAGTCCACATAAGTAAAGTTATACATTGATTAAAAAAAAAATTAATCTTTCTTCTCTCCCCCAAGGGTGATCTTGTCAAACTGGTACTCGCCAAGAGCATATTGTCCAGCTGCCTCCATACGGCTAAGGGTGTTAATGTAGTCGGAGAGCTGCTTGATGCTGTCCACTTGTTCACCGAGGTAATTAGACTCTAAGAAGTCTTGCAACTGTTAAGCAATGAAATAAAAAGGTTATTCAGGGCAGAGAGAGTAGGAAGAGGAGGAAAATTAAACCAGCTCTTTTGAATGCCCAGATGTGCTGAACACACAAGAGCAAATTTTTAATTAAGAGTTTGCACCACTCTCTCAACCAATCAGATGCTAAACTGATAAAAAAAAATTATTACTTGGTCACCCGCGCTTTAGTTATTTTTTCTTCGAGTTCTCATTGGCTCTTGAAGATATTTCCCTTTCCTCTGATTGACCGTTGTGATTGCTTGCGACACTCAATCGAAAAGCACTCTTATTGAATGAATGCTGCCTACCTGTGGATCTTCGTTCCTTGAAGCTGTATTGTGCAGATCAAGCAATGCCTGGTACACGTCTTTTTCTAAGACCAGGGCATGTTTCATGGCCTCCAGACCGTTTCCCCATGTCGTTTCACAAGGTTTCTGCCAAGAAAACGCGCAGAACAAGAAAAACATTTAACTACACTGTCATGTTCCTCACTGTGACTAAATACTAATCAATAGCAGCCATTATGGCTCCGTGTGGATGCTCTCATCTTAGATGAATGAACTGCCCACCTACCCCTCCCCAAACCCAACAACAACCAAATTATAACAAGCTAGGGTTAATGTTGGGTTAGATGAGGGGTAGGTCCAGGTCTTTTAACTTACCATTATACCATGAAGCAAGACGCGGCCTCCACGTTTGTTTTGGTATTCCATCAACTGAAACCAAAGCAAGAAACAATAAAGCAAGAGCCATTACTGGAAAACTAAGCATGGAAATCCTTTATCTACTCTAACCCTCTCACTCCCAAGATCTCATGATTAATTCTCCTCACTGTCAGGCATACCCCTCTCATGATGTTAGTTAAGGGAATTTAGTCTTAGATCAAACCAACAATCCCCTAACTGATATTTTTCTTTATTCTCGTCACTAGTCTGCTTAATATTATATTGAAACTATTAGGAGAAGTTCTGTCTTGATCACTCATGGGAGTGAAAGGGTTAAAACTCTGGGAGTGACCAGCACCAAATTTCTCCTCTCAGAAACACAGCTGGATCATTCGTTAAGATCATGAGAATACAGGATATGATCACCAATTTAAGAAGTTCTTGATTGCTACTTAAATTCTCCTGATCAGTATCTTTGGAAAATTCAGAATACACATACTGGTGCTAAGGTGTAAATGGTTTAATTAAGAGTTGAAACAGGAATACCTTCATGGCATGTT